AAAACATATAAAGTGATAAGTGTGCTGGTTCAATCTTTTCGCTCTCTGTAAAAACTCACTTGAAGATAATTTACACATATAAACAAAATAGTGTATACGAACACTGCTGATATTATTAAATTAAAATGATGTTCTTCATAAATGTTTTTTTAATTAATCGCATTGTGATAAATTGAAAAGACATTAAAGTATAATTTTTAGAGCTCGGGTGTTTAATGAAATTTGTCACTGGCATTCGTAACATACCTTGGGCACCAATTACAGTTGGAATTGGAGAGTCAGAGGAAATATTTGCTCCCAAATGTTTAATGAAGCTATCTTTACCACGTGCATTAGAAACCGCACAACAAGAATACTTCAACTCAGTTATACGTGCGGCAATTCGTGCGGAAGGAAAGGCATTCACCTCGTAATGACTGGGGTACAATTGTATGGTACAGTAGTTGTATAATCATAGTGTTACAGATTATATAGTTGCTATTATTGTTCTTACTCGTTGACCATGAATATTTCATATTTATGCACCTATCAAAGTTAGGCCCAAATTGAAATTCGCATTTTCACAAGCTATTTCTATGACTGAGTATCTGGCATCACCTAGTGCAACAGACCCAAACTGGCATAACATAGAATTTCCTTGTCCTTATGAGGATGCCAGTGTCCCCAAATCCTACCTCCGGCCTCACTTTGATAGGATTACTAAATTATGTTAATTGTTGACTAATTATAACCTTGACTTATTATAACATTTGCTTTAAATATTTGATTTATATTGTCTGAAATAAAATGCAATAAAACTGTTTACCATTACTAATCAGAAAGCATACTATATACCATGTTTAATGCAATAAAGTACTGTGCAATCCCATTTTCGTCTTCTATTGTAAGAATTTCTTTTTTAACTTGTTGCACTTGTTGATCGGTTAAATTAACTAGAGATTGGGGCACAAATACTTCATAATTTGGTTGTTGCTCTGGAACTGGACCGTTTTCCTCAATACCATAGTTGGTTAGGTTTACAACATTCTAGACAGCAGTGGATTTCGTGTTTCTCTGAACTACCATACCTCTCACCCATAATTGTCGTGGTGAAAAGTTACATTCCGTTGAAATAGGATGGTTGTTCCATTGAATGGTAAACTGCCTTAATGCCTCATTAACAAGGTCTAAATTAACAAGGTCTAAATAAACAAGTTGGAGTACAAACAAATGGATTTCATTGGATGCAATAAATACACTGTTCCTCTCCAGATAAAGAAAAATGTTGAGAAACCGTGACACAACAACCCTATTTACATCCCGCCAAAGTCGTTCAATACGCTGATTTTGGACGGATGTACCAGTTATTATGCTTCCACGATTAATTCCTCTCTCTGCCATCATACATATATCTTCCGACTTCTATATTTTCTAAACCAAGATCGCATGCAGCGCACACGAGATGGTAGGTTGTTTGTGGCGACAGCTGACTGAAAAAGCTGCATGTAAGTATGTAATCAAGCAAGAATATCCATCAATTCCATCATGTATCACTATCCTGTATGGCTCGATTAATTTGTGATTGCCATGCATCTATATGCCTAAAACAAAAATTCAAGGCTTGTGTCAGAATTGCATTTTAGTTTAATAACAAGTGAATCAGGTGATCATAAATGTTCTTTCATTGGCTGCATAAGACTAGTGCTATTGCAAGTGCAGCGGGTGTGGTACTAAACAAGTAACATAAACGTATTAAAGACACGCTTACCATAGTGAATTAGGAGATGTAACATTGTATCTCCGCCGAGTAAACCTTTCTAATGCATAAAAGAACTCAGCATAGTTAGGAAGCCATCACTGCGCCATTTTGTAACAGGTAATTCTTTATCTACGGAACTTCATTCCTAGGTTTAAGAGTTCCTGTTCCGGTTTTATATTATTCCACTCCGTTTCTTCTTGAGCATAGTTTTGCACTTCCGCTTCCTCTCGAGTATCGAATAGAAATCATTTGCTTTTGACTTGGATGAATTTTAATAAAGTGGACTTCGATGATTATATAGAATCGACTTTAATTTACATCAGTCCGACTTCGACTTCAGTGAATTTGACTTCGATATTTGTAAACTCGACTTCGAATTTTGAATTTTCGACTTCGAATTGTGAATTTTCGACCATTCAGTCAAAATATATTTGCTCGTATTTTTGTCCGCAACGGAACGTCATAGAACTATTTATAGTTTTGTACCAATTAAATCCATAAATATAAAAAAAATTCCCGCTTATATATGAAAAATAATACTAGTTCATAGAAAACAACCATTAAACCGTACGTGCCTATACTTCCCATCACTAAAGGATTGCTAAACCATGGGTGCTAAACTATGGTCTGGAATTATTCAAGGAGTGGCTAAACTATGGTCTGGAATTATCCAGGGATAGTTAAACTATGGTCTGGAATTATTCAAGAAGTGGCTAAACTATGGTCTGAAATTATCCTTGGGGTTGCTAAACTATGGTCTGCAATTATCCAGGGGGTTGCTAAACTATGGTCTGGAATTATTCAGGGGGGTAGTTTTACTATGATATGGAATTATTCAGGGGGTATTTAAACTGGTCTGGAATTATTCAGGGGGTTGCTAAAATATGGTCTGGAATTATTCAGGGAATCAGGGGTTTGCTAAACTATGGTCTGGAATTAGTCAGGGGTAGTTAAACTATATGATACGGAATTATTTAGGGGCAGCTATTAGCTAAACTATGGTCTGGAATTCAAAACAAATAATTAAATAATTGATGTGATCAAAGACTTGTAACCTGTAACTGAGTGGTAATCTGAACAACTAGGGTTCTCAATACAGGATACAATTTTAATGATCTTTTTGAATGGTCTATTTCTATTTTGTGTTGCAATGTTTTATTATAATTTGAATATTTTCTACATTGTGCGTTATCATATTATGTTAACACGACGCCATTACCCAAACAACAACTTTAAAGTGTCACGTGGTACCTGAATACAGTACCCTAAGAACATATTGTAACATCTTCCCTTTAACAGTTATGTCGCTCGGAAGAAGTCCAAGCAAGATTTTAAGTACAAAAAAATTTAAATGTCTTTTAAATTTCAAGTAGCATCACTGCTAGAGTTCTAAACATAACATGGACGATTTTCATTGTTATCAGTTTCACTATTTATAGAGTTCATAGATATATTATATACCGATTTCTTGTAGGCGTTCATTTGCAATTATAGTCCTCAAGGTAACTGGGTGGCCTTCTTTGACGTTGTTGTCTGTTGCCTGCCAGGGTTTGTGGTGCAGGAACGGTTGTTGGGCCTATGGGTGCTGTCTCTTCCTGCGCTCCATCTTCATCCAATACTGAGTCATCCAGAGGTTCATCATCCTCGCTGCTGCTGAACGGCTCATCAGATCTTCTTAAATGTACTCTATTCCGCCGATATGTTTCGCCCGCTTTTGTTTTGACATAGTAAGATCGATCATCATGTTTAGATGTGGCAACTGCTTTTCGCCATTTGTTTTCGCCAAGGCGAGTGGGCTTTATACGCACCACGTCTCCTATTTTGAGCTTGCTGAGGTCTTTCGCTGATCGATGATAGCACAACGCTTGTGTGCTTTGTTTCTTCCTCAGCTTATTCTGTTGCGTTTGCAGTGACGGGTAAGAGGGCTGCAGTAGGCTGGTCTTCATGGGTAGTAGCGTTCTAGTGCGTCTGTTCCACTGAGCTATATAATAATTCCTGGACGACCGGCTCGTCATTTTTCAGTAACTTCGCCGCCATCTTTTTGAAGCCACCAATATGGCGGATTTCGCCTTCTGCGCAGTGCGCAGAAGCTCTGCTGACGCCACATGGTTCCTTTTGACCATGGTATTTACCACTGACCAGGCTCAATTCTGAGCCCGCTACAGCAGCATTCCCCCCCCCCTGGATTTTGTCCTCTCGTAGATTATTTTTATACTGAAAAACGTTCTTTGTCTGCTGTAAAATCTGAAAAAAATATTGAAATCTCAAGAACTGAGGAGAATATATTTTTAAATCAAACGGCACCAGAATTGCAGGACCAATGCAGGTACCATTTTTTTATTAACCGTATTGAATTCAAATAGATATTTGTTAATTTTGTTTAGATTACCTTCGCAGTTCGCACTTTTTAATATGTCGTGATTTTCGTCTAAAATCAAATGTTGTTCGCTTTTTCGACTGTCCCTTTGCTTTTAATAAGCTGGCTAAGTCGTATTAGCTATAACTTTTTCTTATAAATGTCATTTGTAATATAAATTTGAAATACAAAGGCAAAAATGTAAAAGCCGTATTTTGATTTCACTGGTTATAAACATGTGGTTTCTATAATTACCAAACTGCTTTTGTAGTCCAAGCAACAATAATAAGAAGAAATGCTCTTTAATCGTGACCTTTGATGACGACATCGTCATGTTTAAAAGGTAAGGAATAACAAAGTGAACGATTTTAATATTTTATTGAACACTGATTACAGTAAATTTAATTTAAAATTACATTGTTATGCGTTGAATTGAGATACATTATTCACTAGTCAACAATTAATAAATGCCAATGTGCCCAACAAAGATTAACACGGGCATGTGAAATGTTAAATTTATATGTAATTATCCAGGGGCTGGTTGTCCAAAATCTGGTTAGCTTAACCAAGAGTTAATTAAAGCAAATCTTTACATCAATTTCAATTGCTTGTTTATAAATTAAGTCTTTACCAATGTCTTTTTTCATAAATATTTTCTGGTCTGACAAAAGCCATATTTTGTAAATCTTTTGAAACGAACAGGTGATTAAAGTTTAATTCAGGGTTAACACTTAATTAGCTTTGAACAACTGGCCCCAGCACAATTAAAGAATTTCACAAAGAATGTTAAATTCAATGAAGAACAATTATAAATAGCCGGATGATACCCAGATTAATCTTTGTTGGGCAAAGTGGCTCCAGTTATGTTCATTGTACAATTTGTACAATTTTTTAAAATGTACTTAAGGGCCGGCTTCCTTTTTTGGTTTTTGCACTGATGTGCAATATGGCCCAGTCTGCCACAATTGAAACATTTTCTCTCTACAAAGGAAGGAGATTTATTCATTAGGGGTTGTGATCAATAGCCCATAACAAACATAGATAATATTAACTTGTAACTAATATTAACATAGATCAAGAAAGCTTGATCCAGTTGTGCCAGGTGGGAACTGACCTCAATATCAATGTACTTGAAAAGACTTATATGTCATGCTGTTAAAGAACAATTTACTGCTGTCAAAGATGCATTTACCAACTAATAGAACACCATATAATTTGTTGATAATAGGTAAATCATGGAATTTTAGACTTACTGCTTTGAACTCGTTTTTTGGCTGCAATAAATAAACAATAAAATTAATATATTTTTTGTTTTGTGGAGTCTAAATACAAATATGTTGTTATTGCTTCATTTAGGTGAATGGATATTTATTCAAGATGAACTAAACAGGAAAACGTACGTTGTTTACATTCCCTTGCTTTATGGCCAGTTAGGCCACAATTATGAAATTTTCCTAGAAATGAAAATTTGTTAGCTAGGTTAGAACTGTGGAAATATCCACAATAAAAACAACATAGTCATGGTAAGCAAAGTTTCAATACCTTTGAATTCTGTACTTCTCTTGCCTTCTATAAAGAAGAAAAGACACTTGTTCAAAATAATCGTTGTATATTGTTACGCAAGGCTTCATAGTGATTGAGATACGCATATAAAAATAGCCATAAAAATAGAAGTAGCAAGAGCATGACAGGGATTAGTGATTAATTTTTGCCACAAGACGCCTGAGTAAATATAATTTCGGCCCATTCGCAACCATTAATCACATTTCCTTTCATGCATGACATTTCGTGGGATTGAATTAAGTAGTAAGGTGAAAATATCAATCATCCTGTCAAAACGTGTGCATCTGGATCAACAATCGTATGTCGTTGCCAAGTTTAACTGTCATAATTGAAAATATGCATGCTCGAGGCAGCTGCGAAGCTCTTATGTCAATCAAATGTGTTTTTTATAATGCGCGGTCGAGCATTTTATGGGTTACGTCAGAGAAAGTTTAAATCGATTAAAGTAGTAGTATAAATAGTTAAGTTATAAAATAAGGTTCACAGAAACAATGTTTGATAGTTTTAATGCATGTTGATGATAAATATTTTAAGTTGTGAACATTTTTAAGTATCGATCGATTGAGCAGAAGACCAACTCGATTAGTGCGACAACGCCTTAAACAAACAAGATATGAGAGCTGGAACGAGCTTCTAAGACCAACCCACATCTCTAACTTACAACGCTGATTGGTTGGATAAGGATCAGCCCACTCTGGTTGATGACGTCTGCAAGTTTCCCTCAACCGTTACTATAAAAGGGCGTGCACAACACCCCAACCTTCAGTGGACTGACGGAGTAAAGATTAACTTATGAAACGTTAGGAAGCTCAACGACAGAACTGACGAAGAAGACAAGAACAGAAAACAACGAGATCCGAAAGGACGAATAATCAGAAGAGAAGAGAAGAACGGAGAAAGAAGAGAACATTAGTGAACTTTAGTAAAAGCTTGTAAAGATCTCCTACCTCGCGTATAGAGAAAATAAAGTCTTTATAACAATATACTAAAATATAAAAATAATAAAAACATACCACTCTTGCATTGCCAAGCCTTGTGACCTCTATGTCCACAATTATGACACTCGCCTAAAGGAAAAGGTTGTTAAATAGGCTCTATAGGTTAAATAGTTTTATGCATCTTAAGACCCGTTTCAGTCGTTGAACTTTTCAGGTGCCAAATCGAATGCAAATGAACTTAAAGAAAGACTTTAACTCATAAACATTAGGAAAAATGAAAATTTCGAAACGGGCATAAGACACCCATATATAAAAGGTATTGTTCTATTAAAATGTAAAATGACGAAATATATAGAAAATAATACCTTTGAACGTTGCTTTTGCCTGCTCTCATCTAGAAAATAAAAGACAATCTTTAATTTCATTACATGTTCATTACTTCTTGTTTATTTTCAATCTCGGTAGGTTTCTCTCTCTCTCTCTTGGTAAGTAATAAAGCAAGAAAAGATAAGATGTCAAAGTGTATAAATCCCAAATACCTTTAATCGTTGTTTTTTGCCCCTTCTCGACTAGAAAATAGAAAGATAAACTTTACTTCATTGCACCGTGGTGTTTTACCGCTTTTACTTTCAGACTCTCATGATAGTTCGCCTTCGGGGTCAGACAAGCCTGCTATTTTTAAAAAAATGCGGGATTATCATTAAATCATGATATTAAAATTGTCATGAAAGTGCGTAAAAAAGTACCTTCCATGTTCTCGATTTTCTTGACTATTTCTTCCTCATCTGCTTGCCCTGCGGCGAAAGCGCAACATAAAGACTTAAAGTGGGAGATAATTAATGTCGGTCTCGATAATTTATTTAAATGCCAGCACGAAATATACCATATTCTGGAAGGACAATTTATCTACGAAATCTCATGGCTCAGTAAAAAGATTTTGAGTTAAACCCGAAGTTCAAATACAACAATCATTCACGTACCGATATCAATATCGTTTTCATTCCCGTTATCGACCATCTTCCTGCTTTGAAAAAAATTATATAGAAGATATACCATTAAATATTTAATAAAGTCAAAAATAATTAATAAAGTGCCACTCTAAAAACTTTTTTAGCGTTGTATTTAATGCCTTCCTAGCTGCAAAAACCTGTATATATAGGATATAGCTGTATGGATAAAAAGCGCGCGAAATAAATTTGATTTTTGATTGGTGCAGACACAGAAAACAATGTTGATACAATATGAAGTATTGCACTTCGAACGATTTCTTATTGTCAATTGAAATTTACATAAATTGAATTCCGGAGTTTGATCTACCATTTTTACGACAAATATTTTTTTTATCGCATGCTTTCTTTGAACTGCGATCACTTGAATTAATTATTTCTACTTGACTGCATATGTAAAATTCAAACGGAGCAGGGAAATTTTTTAGCTGAAATGAACATGCGTCAAGTTACCAACACGCGCTTGCATATTTTACGCAGAAATTTTTTCTAATTTTATTCTAATTCCAAATAGCCAATCTGGTTTTATTATAATTGCATATTACTGCACAATTAGAATCGGCAGTATGGCATTAAAATAAACAATATTGGGGGTGTGAAAGCGGAGGTGTGTGGGTGTGCACGGTAGGAGCTAACAATAACACGGTGATCGATTGTGGACAGCCAGAATACAGTATAATGTAATAATATCAGGTGTGTACCATACTTCTCACATAAGATCCTTCTCTAAACACCATCTTTCTGTTGTAGCACTTGAATTAAATAACCTTCTAATATAAACTAAAAGTAATATAAACGTTCAAAAATAAAAATTGTATTTCTGGGTTGAGCCATAACGCCCATAACGCATAACACGAGTATATTACAATCACTACAAAACAATATTAACAATTTCTATTTGCCTATCCCAGCCTCCAGAAAACAAATATATGATACATACTAGAAACACATTGCATGCAAAGTCCCCTCGCCTGAAGCAATAAACTTATATTTCCATCACTGAAATTCTATAATACTCGTTTCTGCTGAATGATCGAAGCCGTGTAAGTAAAATCCTATATCTTGGTACATTATAAAGTCGACTCTCGAGCTATCACATTCAACTATAATCGTAATTCATTATAAATTGTGCTACGAATAGTTTTAAATACTACAACTTTTAGCGAGATTTCAATTCCTTTTTAAACAGATTGACCTTTAAAAATAAATGCTTTCCCAATCAAAATCATTTTAACGAAATTGACGAATAAATTCAAAGAGGTGTCGTACGTTTGTTGATAAATCTACAAGTTAAACTTACGAAATACTTGCTTGCTAAAATACAAAATTAATCTACCTATTTACCTGTTTAAAAACACTCCAAAAATGCTTTAAAATCGTAGATTTTTCACCATCTATTTTAATCAAAGTTTTTCTATCCGAAAGCATCATCTGCTTTACATTTTAATCATTTTTACGAGTGAATTTTTCCGTATATTTTCAAAACCATCCAAATGAAAAATATTTTTTAAAAAGTATAATTCAAAATATCAGTTATGCTGACGCGAACCAAAATTTTAATTTAGCCAATCGCACGCTTGCAAACGTTTGCTGGTTACCAGTTTTAACTCGTCTTAAACTCACGCATGCGCATAACTTACAAAAACGCCCAACGTCCATGACATAATGGCGGACAACTTTCATTTCGCATTTGCATTCCCGGGCGTAATCAAAATCTCCGGGCGGAATTAGTACCCTCGCCCGGTGCTTCGCACCGGCTCGGGGACTACTTACAGTTTAACATAAAATAATGTACATTGTACTCGCTAGTATATAATTTTAAAAGTTTTTTATTTTTACATATATAAATTTACAAATACTAAGAGAACATTCATTCATAACTATAACCAAAGCATGTGCTATTTCACTGACACCTTTGATGAATTAGCAACTGTTCTTGTTTCTTCAGTCAAATTGTCCCCAAAATCATTCCACATGGTCAGTGAAAGTTTGTTGATAATTAATTAATCTTCTTCACTAACGTTATTTTGTAACTTCCTGATTTCATTTCTCTTCCTCTATCTATTATATCCATGACCAGAAGAAGGTTCGTTCCCCCATGATACTTTGCAAAATGACAGCTATGAAATGAAATTGAGAGCTGGCATGTATGTTGCTTTTCAAATATATGTTATGGAATAAAATATGTTCAGTTAGGCCCATGATGATATTATTTTCATCCATTTAGAAGATACATAATCATTTGTTTATATCTGTATGACAACCATTTCTGCTCCATATTTTCTTTCTTTCTCTTTGCCTTGTTGCAGAAAAAGTACCATTGCTTTAACACTTTGTAGGATCCTGGATGATCTTGATCAGTGCATGATATAGTCAGTGCTAATATATATGGTTCCCATTTGTATCTTCAACATATATCTCTTGAGTCTTGCAGTTGTCAATTCAAAAAAAGTGTAAGGAAACAGTATACCTGGCAGAGTTATGATGTTGGCTCTTCATATAACATAATCTGTCTTAAATTTATGTATATTATTGTATACTAACTGCTTATTTATAGCAATTGAATAAAATTATAAAATTTAACACCTGATGTTAATCTTATGATTAAATTATTTGAATGTAAAGTAATTGTACAAATTCATTAAAATTTTTTTTCACAATTTGGTTAAGTCACATGTTCAATTGGCACCTCTTTTTCTTCTCCTAAAAATAAACAGAAAGTAAAATTGCAGTTGTTGAAATGCAGATTTAACTAAATACAGAAACATAACTAGGAAAAACAATTAGTTAATACTTGCTTATGTGATAATTTGATGCGTGCTATTAGAATTTCACCGGTCAAACCTGTCTATGCATATGTAAAATGTGCAGGTGTGCTACATCCACCAATATATTCAAACACCACACAATAATTCACAAACTTTGTCAAACCTCGAACA